TGGTCTGTCCTGGTCTGGTCTGGTCGGTCTGGCCTGGTCCGGTCTGGTCTGTCCTGGTCTGGTCTGGTCTGGTCTGGTCTGGGGTCTGTCTGGTCTGTCCTGGTCTGTCCTGGTCTGGTCTGGTCTGGTCTGGTCTGTCCTGGTCTGTCTGGTCTGGTCTGGTCTGGTCCTGGTCCTGTCCTGGTCTGGTCTGGTCTGGTCTGGTCTGGTCTGGTCTGGTCTGGCGGTCTGGTGGTCTGGGATCAGAGATTATCTCAGATTTATGACCTGGTTTTTCTCGTTCTCTGTAATCACCATAAACACATCAGCGTCTCTTTTTTACGCAGCAGAAAATGTGTGTGTCTGACGCCCTGTCCCACCTCGTGATGTCATCAGGTGAGATCACATCACACTGTCGCCTGTTCAGAGGGAGTCTGACGTCACCACAGACAGTGTTGATGAGTAACAGATTACAAGTACTGGAGTTATGTAATCAGAGTACAAATGATGAGTAACTGTAATCAGATTACAGTTACTTTGTTAAATAAATGGACACAGAGGGATTTTCCTGTTTTCAAATTTTGGGCTGTAATCCCTTTTTTTTTTTTTTTTTTCCGTAATTCACTCATCATAAACAGGTCTAAACCTGTCTGACCCAGTCTAAAACCAGGACTAACCAGGACTGAACCAGGTCCAGGGGACCCAGGACCAGGACTGAGACCAGGACTGAGACCAGACTGACCAGACCGGACCAGACTGAGACTGAACCAAGACCAGACAGACCAGACCAGACCAGACTGAGACCAGACAGCCAGAGACTGAGACGGACTGAGACCGAGACTGGACCTGAGACCAGGACTGAGAGACCAGGACTAAAAGTTTAGACTGGTTTAGTCGGGGTTAGTCCCGTAATAGACGGGTTGTCCTGGTTTGTTAAAACGGTTTAGTCCTGGTTTAGTCCTTGGTTTTAGTCCTGGTTTAGTCCAGTTTTTTCCTGGTTTTAGTCCTGGTTTCGTCCTGGTTTAATCCTGGTTTTAGTCTCCTTTTTCCCCGGTTTAGTCCTGGTTTTAGTCTGGTTCCTAGTCTGGTTTAGTCCTGGTTTAGTCCTGGTTTAATCCTGGTTTAATCCTGGTTTAATCTGGTTTTAGTCCTGGTTTAGTCCTGTTTAGGGTTTAAGTCCTGGTTTAGTCCTGGTTTTAGTCCTGGTTTAGTCCTGGTTTAGTCCTGAGTTTAGTCCTTTTAGTCTGGTTTAGTCCTGGGGTTTAGTCCTGGTTTAGTCCTGGTTTAGTCCGTTATCCTTTTTTTTTTTTTTCTATTTTTCACTTAAACACAAAACCGAAAACTGAAAAAACCCAAATCATGATCCGTTTTTTTCATTTTCTTATTTTCGGTTTTATTTTGAAAAACACACGCATGATTCCATTTCCGCACTAGACACGCACGTAGCCCGCCCCCCCGCCGGCGTCTCACCGATCTCGCTCATCTCGGGCACCCGGGCGTAGTAGGGGTTTTTGGTGAAGCGCGGCTCGTTGTCGTTGATGTCGTGGATCTTGATGATGAACTCGGACTCTCCCTCCAGGGCCACGTTGGTGAAGCGGTTGACGGCCTTGGCGTGCAGGACGTAGTACGCCTTCTCCTCGCGGTCCAGGCGCTTGGTGGCGTGGATGTCTCCGGACTTCTCGTCGATCTTGAACAGGGTCCCGGCGCCGTCTCCCGTCAGGACGTAGCGCACGCTGCCGTCGCCGCGGTCGCCGTCCGAGTGGAGCTGAGGGAAAAAGACGAGGAAGAAAAGAAGTTAAAAAGAGTTTCTGAAAATGGGTTTTTACAAGAGTTTAGTTTATTTATTTATTATAGAAAAGCTAAACGGAAAACAGGTCTAAACCAGGCCAGGTCTAAACAGGACTAAACCAGACTAAACAGGTCTAAACCAGGTCTAAACCAGGACTAAACCAGGTCTAAACCAGGTCTATAACCAGGACTAAACCAGGTCTAAACCAGGACTTCTAAACCAGGACTAAACCAGGACTAAACCAGGTCTAAACCAGGTCTAAACCAGGACTAAACCAGACTAAACCAGGAAACCAGGTCTAAACCAGGACTAAACCAGGTCTAAACCAGGTCTAAAACCAGGACTAAACCAGAACAGGTCTAAACCAGGACTAACCAGGTCTAAACAGGTCTAAACCAGGTCTAAACCAGGATCTAAACCAGGTCTAAACCAGGTCTAAACCAGGCTAAACCAGGACTAAACCAGGACTAAGGTCTAAACCAGGTCTAAACCAGGACTAAACCAGGACCAGGTCTAAACCAGGTCTAAACCAGGTCTAAACCAGGACTAAACCAGGTCTAAACCAGGTCTACTAAACCAGGGTCTAAACCCTAAAACCCAGGTCTAACCAGGACTAACCAGGACTAAACCAGGACTAAACCAGGTTCTAAACCAGGTCTAAACCAGGCCACTAAACCAGGACTAAACCAGGTCTAAACCAGGACTAAACCAGGACTAAACCGGTCTAAACCA